ATCTGTAAAAAGGGGATCTCCCCTTTGAGATCTACTTATGAAAAGTTCAACATAGGAGCTAAGTAATATTATTATTTATTATGCTGAGCTGAGATCATAAGATTGCTTTTCTTTGTGCTGGGTAGAAGACTATTAAACCTTCTTTCCTGACTGTGGATCATATTTGTGATACAATTTAAAAGCTGGTTATAAATTAGCTATTTCTACATACAGTGTGCAAGTGACCTGGTCCTAGATCAGTGGTTTTCAAACTTTTTTTCTGGCGATCCTCTTGAGGAAAATTATTGATGCCCGTGACCCAATGAAGCTGGGGGTATGGGAGGGGCTATGGGCTGGGGCAGAGGGTTGAGGTGCAGGGGTGAGGGCTGCAGCCAGGAATGAGGGGTTTAGGGTGTGGGAAGGGGCTCTAGGCTGGGGCAGGGGGTTGGGGTGCATGAGGGGGTCAGGGTTCTGGGCTGGGGATGCAGGTTCTGGGGTGGGGCTGGGAATGAGGGGTTTGAGGTGTGGGAAGGGGCTCTGGGTTTGGGGCGGGGCTCAGGGCAGGGGATTGGGGCACGGGCTGACCTTGGGTGGCTCCCACTCAGCAGCGGTGCTAAGGCAGGCTTCCTGCCTGTCCTGCCACAGCAGACTGTGCTGCGCCCTGGAAGCGGCCAACAGCATGTCCGGCTTCTAGATGGAGGTTCCCAAGTGGCTCTGTGCGGCTCTTGCCTGCAGACACTGCTCCCCTACCCCTGCTCCCATTGGCTAGGGACCAGTTAATGGGAGTGCGGAGCCGGTGCTTGGGGCAGGGGCATTGTACGGAGCCCCGTGGCCCCCTGCCTAGGAGCCAGATCTGCTGCTGGCCGCTTCCGGGCACAGCACGATGTTGGAACAGGTAGGGACTAGCCTGCCTTAGCCAGGCAGCACTGACGATGGGACTTTTAACAGCCCAGTCGGTGGTGATGGCCAGAGCTGCCGTGACCCAGTGCCTTATGTTCCACAACCCAGTACTGGGTTGCGACCCGCAGTTTGAAAACTACTGTCCTAGATAAGGCTCCACGGAATACTGTTACTACAGATCTTTAGAATCCAGAGACTTCCTCCTGGTGTTTTTGCAATGGCTTCCTCATTTTGATGCAAAGCTGAAAGTTTGCTCCTGTCTTTGCAAACTTGTGCTACAAGACAGGAGCAGTAAGAAACTTGAAACCAACATCTTCCAACCTGCTTTTAGGTTCCTTTAACAAAAGATTTACCCTGGGCTGAAAGAATTGTGGTTTGAATTATCTGCCTGTCAAGGCTAACCTGTCACATGGCTCTTCGACAGCGGAAGATTTGAAGGTTGAGATTAAAGGGTGTCCCTTTTACAGACAGTTCAATCTAAAAAGGAAATGATGAGATCATTGTGTGAGTGTATAAATAAATGGTCTGGGACAGGTTGTGGGGGTGATGCAGAAATCAGGTTAGAAATCTCTAAATCTGACCTTAAAGAGACTGGTGGGAAGTGAACACCTCAGAGCAGTGTTCTGTGGCAACCATTATTCAGGAACTGACATGTTTAGTAGTTAAAACCATTCATTATTTTGTCCTTTATTCCCCATGGGGAGAGTTGCTCTGAAAATCAATTCCCTTTGTTGCCACATCAAGATCTATAACTCTCTGTGTTATTTATTTTTCCCAAGCAAATGGTGATAGAATACAGGGAGCTCTGCTCCTCGAATCAGGATGGAGATAATATCAGCCTGCTGAGAGGGGATTTTAATCTCCCTACTGCATTTTAAATTAATCAGATATTTTCTGAAATGCTTTACTGGTTTTGAATTGAAATTGACTGGCTTCCATCTTTCCAATTTCCTTTCCTCAAGCACTCCAATCAAATAATTTTACAGTAACTGATAATACTATATAGGAGAAGGCACTTTTCCCAGTGTGTATTGTTGGTCTTACGGAACATAACTCCAATTTATTTCCTTTTGTCATGGAAAAGGTTATTTAGAAAATGAAGTTTGGCCTCTCCTGTTAGTCTAGTCACTGCTGATAGGTTTGTGGACTAACTTTAAATACATTTTGAGTCATACAACAATGTTTGACCCAGGCTTTGGTTCATATATATCAATAGCATTTTACGGTAGGGTAGAAAAGCTTTAAATGGGAACCTGAATTTGTTTCTGAATGCAGTAGATAGAGTATACATCCAGTAATGTTAGTGAATATTGAGCATATACTTCTGTTGGATTATGAAGAAGCAGGTTGTTTGATAGATACTCTCCTTGAGCTGTGCTTACTCAAAATGGACTCCTGTAGATCATTTTCTAAGTGACGATCTTCTCTTATGAATTTCAATGAAGCAGTGGATATAAAAGCTGAAGTGTTCCCCCAATTCCTAGCCCTTCTATTATTTTATGGAAGTGTTGTCTAGTGGTTAGAACAGGAGATTTGGTTCTGTTCCTAATTCTGCTTCTGATTTCCTGTGTCCTTGGGCAAATCACTTCACCTCTCATTTTCCCCATCTACAGAATGGGTCTAATATTTAGTTACCACACAAAAATGAGGCGGGGTTTCACTAATGCTAGCAAAGCACTTTGATACTGTAGATTAAGGATGCTATATAATGTACTAAGTATTATCATCTAGAACTAAGTCTTGTACAATTGCTGCTAAAGGAGTAGCATATGGTGTTGCAGGGTGGAGGCAGGTTGCATGGGCATAGCAATGTAGGGTAGTTTCAATCTGATACGATGCAATAAAATCTAGCTAGCTAGGCATTTATACCATGCTCATCACAGCAGGGAATCACAATTTAGGGCTCTCTCAGCATCCCTTTTTTCACAAGGACTCCAATAAAAAAAAAATCCAGCACCCAAAAATGTAGAGAGAGAAATAACTATATTAACCCTTTAAATTGAGGAAATTGGTAACTCCTGGATTTTACTTAGCATCCTTAACTACCATTATGATGTTTCCAAACATCACATGTAGGGACCTGGACATTCAGTAAGTCCCCAATTCAGCAAAACACTAAGCATAGGCTAAACTTTGCTGAATGGCTTTGCTCTGAATTGGGGCCTAATTTTATTTATATGCCTTGGGTATTGGTTTGTTTCTTTAGAATAAATGGTGTCTGGATATTTCAGGTCCTGCGAATTTGCTTCTGTTCTATACAGCTTACAAGGCAGCTAATCAAAATACCTCATTGAGCCACTAGTGCTGGAACTGAAGTTCGTTCTGTCTTAATGTATTCTCCATCGCTGAGACTGTCAAGGCTCCTTCCCCACTCTGAACTTTAGGGTACAGATGTGGGGGCCTGCATGAAAACTTCTAAGCTTAACTACCAGCTTAGATCTGGTCCGCTGCCACCACTCCCAATGTGCTAATTCCCTTCCCTGGGTAGCTTTGAGAGACTCTTCACCAATTCCCTGGTGAATACATATCCAAACCCCCTGGATCTTAAAACAAGGAGAAATTAACCATCCCCCCTCCTTTCTCCCACCAACTCATGGTGGATCAAGATCCAACCCCCTTGGATCTAAAAACAAGGAAAAATCAATCAGGTTCTTAAAAAGAAGGCTTTTAATTAAAGAAAAAGGTAAAAATCATCTCTGTAAAAT